AATCAGCGCCGCGGGAAAGGCCAAGGCCAAAGCGCAGGCTGTGGGCAAGCCTCAGCCTGCGCCCAAGCCGCAAAGCAGCAGAAAGCGGAATAATCTTGATGAATCCCTACCAACAGAGGTCAACCCTGCTGCAGTGCGATTCTGGAACAACTTTACTGGCCAGGGCCAGGGCCAGGAGCAGACTGATTCTGGCGGTGGTGAGAATGCAAATGATCAGCCAGCAGCTTCAGACCGTGACCCTGCTGGAGTGCGATTCTGGCAAGACTTTGCTGCTCGTACTCGTGCACAGTCTCAGGCAAGTCCAGATGACACTGCGACTGCCACTCGAGCGGCTCAACCACCTGAACCTGAACCAAGCATTTCAGTGGCTCAGCCAGTTCAACCGGCTCAAACGCCATCAGATGACAATGCCACTCGACCGGCTCAACCAGCGGCACAGTCAGTTCAACCGACTCAAACTCAAGCTGAGCCTGGGCTGGACTCACAAGTTGATTCACAAGCTTCACAAGTGGTATCCATTCCATTGTCGGAGGGGGAGGAGGTTATGTATGTGAACGCACTTGATGAGGCATTGCAAAATGGCACCGCTGAGACCCAGATTGACTCTGACTCGCATGTGCTGCCAGAACTTGGACTTGAACCGACTCATCTTGAACCGACACCAGCGCCAATGGATTTGACTCAGGCAACTATGACAGAACCTCCTCTGGCTCCAACACTACCTGGACCAGTGCATAGTGAAGCAAAGGCACCACAAGCTCCAGCTCCAGAAATGTCAGAATCAGCATCGGCATCAACGGAAATGAATCAGTCCATGTCCATGTCTGAGCAGACACCACCAGTGCCTGAGCCTGAACAGACATCGTCAGTGCCTGAGCATGAGCAAACATCGTCAGTGTTGGTTGCGCTGCCATTGCCAACGCCTGATCAGGCTCAGACATTGCCATCACAGGCAGTGGCACATGAGGCCAAGCCAAATGTTTCGATTCACAATCAAGGTTCTCCTCATCCTTCACCAACGGCACCGCCAACAATGTGCCATGATCACATTGACATTGACAAGTCTCGTCAGTCACTGGAACCTGTACCGGAACCGGAGCTGTCTCAAGTTCCAGCCCCGCAGTCATCAACGGCTTCATCTAGAACAAAGAGGGATGATACTACTGCTGCTGATGGACCATCATCATCGCATGCTGCTGACCGTCAAGCAGATACGTTTGTGTCTTGTTTGGTTGAGGACTGTTGTGAGTTGTGAGTTGCATTGTTGTTATCTCCTTGTGGTTGGGTTGAATTCAAAGTTGAAAGTGATTATCAAATTATCGGTGCGGTCACCATCTGATCACAACGAGAATCGGTAGACTTGTTTACGACTTTAACTTTAACTGTAACTACTTTAGAGAGTGCTGTGACATACCGTACCTGATGTGTTGTGCAACTTTTGAGCAGGACCAACTTGACTGCATGGAGAAGACCTTTGGACGGGATTGTATTGCGGACATAGTGCAAGCTTTGCCAAACAGTCTTTGGCTCATGAGCGCATGTAGTGGTACTGGTATGTTTGAAATGGTTACCTATCACATTGTTGCAGAGTTCAACAAGCGATACCGTTTGCCGGACAAAGAAGCTATTCAGGCCGGATTATATATTATATTATATTACTGACTGTCCAGAGTCTGAGTCCAGAGTTGTCAATCAAATCAAATTCATGATTCTGATTCAGGATTATTCATTGATCATATGTAATTAAGCACTGAGTGAAATGTTGATGTTGGATTGACGTGGAGGTGAGCACCCGCTTTCTGTGCGAACTCACTACGTTCAAGCAGCAGTTCATGCAGCGGCATATGATTCCTCCAGAGGACATGAAGTGGTTCGTGTTCACATTCATGTAAGTAGCGACAATTCAGTGTCAGACTTTGTGCTCATTGTGACTGCTCATTGGCGCTTGTAACTCTTGGACTTGTTTGTAACCAGGAAGCGGACACCACATGTTTGTTTGCAGACATCACCAAGCTGGCTGATCATGGCCAAAGACGATGTGTAACCCATGCAGCCAACTGTGTGCGGGCCCCAGTTCTGCAAAGTGAAGTCTGTTAGTCAAACAGTCAAACAATGACTTGGACAATTGCAGCAATTGCACTTGACCCGGAACTGGACCAGGCACTCCCCAAGTGTGATGAAGATCTTGGGAATGAGATGACTCTGTTCACAGCTGGATTTTCCTGCAAGTGTTTTGGATTTGATTTCAAGTTTCAAGTTGCAAGTTTAATTCAGTTTATCAAATAATCAAATCAAAATCAGATCACTGCGTCACTGGCTGTCCCTTCTGAGGAACTTTTCGCGTATGAATTCTGATTTCACCAGCTTCAAATCAGCCATAGAGTCTCAAGTCGAGTCTTAGTATAACTATTTTTGGTCAATTAATTATTTGTGCCTTCAGGACTGGATGTTGTTTGTGCCTTCAGGACTGTACGTCGGCAAACACCTTCAAAGGAGTTTGTGATGTGCTGAGTATTTGCAAACCACACGCAGTCATTTTAGAGAATGTGGATTCGATCGACACTCCATCTGGAGAAGATGCAGACGGTGGTGAGTAGTTTGACTCAACTAACTAGTAACTAGCAACTAACAATTTTTGAGTTTGATTAACCAACTTAACTTTCAATTGTTCAACTGTTTTCAGATTTCAGACTACTTTCTTCATGTTCTTTTCTTTTGTGACTCGCGAGGCAAACAAAAAGCAACCTTTCCATGGTCGTTCAATATCTTCGGGACCTTGGTTATGCGGCTGTAGCGCAACGATTGAAAACATCAGACTATTCAATACCACAGCGGCGCACACGATACTACATCATTGGTTTGCGGCAAGTAAGTAACTTTGCTTCAAGTGCCTATGTCATGATTTCCTCACTGGTGCCACGTTTGAACAGCGCAAAGAGCGAACTCTTTCCTATCGTCGCGCACTCACTGCTTAATTGTTTTGGTTTGGTTTTGTCTTGTAGAGTTTAGTCTAGAGTCTAGTCAGAGATGATATGATATGATTGATATGATATGATAGAATGCTTGTATTGTGACTTGCAGCCACTGTTTGTCCGATTTAAGGACAAGTTCTTGCTGAGCAAAGGTGACGACCGGCTCCTAGGGGAACTTAATCGTCGTGAACATCAAACAGCAAATCGAATGAGAAAGCTAGAGGAAAAAGTCGAAAAAGGAAACATTACTATGTCCAATGACAAGTGGAAGGAACAACATACAGCATTGGCTGAGCAGTTAGGGGTTCGCTGGCCGCTTGTGGCATCGCCTGAATTGGAATCTTCCCGGTGGTATATGACTCTGCCCCAGCGAGAGCAAGAGGTTGCTTTGTTGTGAATGATTTGGGATGGAGACAAAGCAGTAAACGCATTGTCAAATTGCAATACTGTAAACGATATGTAACTATGACTCTGATTCGATATGATAATATAGGTAGATGATGTACGGACGGCGAACAGGAAAGCGACTTGGACTTTTCTGCACTGCACCTGGTTTAGGTTCTTTGCTTTGTCGAGCTGTGGAATGACCGTAACAAGTCACAGGGCAAGGATACCATCCTCTTCGCTGATATTTCGCAAACCGTATCCCGCTTGCCATGCAGCACAAAGAGTTCTCAGGCCTTGGTACTCGACATTTCCTGTTCCCTTTTGCTGACCGATGTTATGATCTGAGTCTAAGTCTAGAGTCTAGAGTCTGTAGCGGCTACAGGCTATATAGGCTATGTCATGTCAAATATAATCCGTTCTAATTCTATCAGCAGTCTATCCTATTTAATTTTCTATTTGTTGCATTTCAGTTCCATTGCAGGTGGTCCCAACCATACTGCCTCATTCGAAGCTGTGGTGTGTCGAGATGAACCGTCCGTTGGTGGGTCAGGAGCTCCAATCGTTGGTTGGTTGGTCAGGTGACTGTGTTTGTTTCGTTTCGTCATTGTTTCTAGGAGATGGCAGCACTTCAAGGCCTTTTCCTTTCTGAATTGCCTCTTGCAGTAGATCAATCTGATTCACAAATTGCAGGCTTGGCTGGAAATTCGTGTGTGTCTCAGAAACATGCATGACTTGTGTTTGTTTCAGTTGAAGTTGAAGGAAACTGAAAGCAACAGCAAACAAACACCAAGTTCAGACTCAGCAGACTCAGCATCAGCCTCAGCTGAATGTTCACTGTTCAGGTTTTCTATGCCTTGCATTTGTGCTGCGGTTCTCGCCGTACTTACCACAGTGAGATTTGATTCAGAATCGGATGATGAAGAACTGTGTGCTGCTCATGCGGCAATGACTCAATGGATGAATCGGAGTCGAGTCGGGTGATAACATCCGCTTTGTTCTTTTCGCTGTCACGCACAGTGCGACAGTGCAACAGTGTGACACGACATACGTCACGCACTTGAATGTGGCTGCGGCCGAATGGCGACAGTCAGAAGATCGAAGTGAATGTGTGCGTGTGAAAATGTTGTTCATGGCAGCCGGACAGCTGAGTTCTTATTTGTCTGAGTTGAGTTGTCACACTTGACTGGACTGGATTTGACTCGGCTTGACTTGTTGCGAGTTGGTCGGTTTGTTTGTGAGTTCCTTTCCTGAGACACCGATTACGCAGCAACATCTACTATACAGACTAGACTCGACTAGACTACATACACTAGACTGACTAGACTATACACATGCACGGCATCAGTCACCTGTTTCTGTACCATGTACCCTGCCTCTGCCTTCCGTACCGTACCGTTGTACCGTTGTACCGTACCCCGTACTGTACCACCGCCCCCATAACCCGTACTGCTGCTTCCCACCCGTACCGTACCACTGCCCCACACCGCCCCCCTGTACCGTATCACCGCCCCCCTGTACCGCACCTGACCGTACCATAAATCGACCCTATACCGCACCCTCCAAAATGGACCCAATAGAGCATTGCTCTTAGAAACAGCTAAACTTGAATATTAAAAGTGCAGACGCTTGCGCGGGTTTGAGGAATGCATGGAGCGGACCGAGGATAATTGCAAAATTGCAACTTGTCATGCTCAGGGGTAAGCCGGTGAACACATTCCACCTAAAAACATACCCCGTCAGTGGATAACCTTTCCCCACCAAACAAGAACAGGACTGAAGGAATCAGAAAATGATAGGACATGTATGGACATAGATTTCAGCAAATTGTTTGAGTCTAGATATGTGTCAAGAGGAATGACACAGACGTGTCAATCAAGACTATTTTTTCTATTTCTTTTTCTGCGTCGGTTGTCCCAATGAGGTTGGGCTTACCATGCCGATGAAGTTCTGCTTGCTCTTTTTTTGCTGCTTGCTCCAAAGATGTCGGTTTGGCCTGTGGCAGGTGTTTGTGGCAAGATTGAACGCAGCGGCACACCAGAAAAGAGAATCGCACTCGCTCAACCGCGAATACTATTCTCTAGCAAAGGCAAGCACCATTGTCATAGACTTTGGTGTTTTGAATTGTAAGCATCCCCGTCCACGCCCACATCCCTCACACACCAAGATTAAATATCTTAAATAGGGAGGATAATGCAGTAAGTCACGGCCTCATGTCTCAATCTGGACGGGCGAAGCATTCGCTGAATCTGACCCGTTTTGAATCGTGCTGGAGACAGCGGTCCCGTCCCGCCTCGCTTCCAGGTTTCTTGCCTCGCTGCTTACTGGTTGTGATTTTGCAGCTTGCCGGCAGGCCTAAGCATAGGCCTTTTTGCACCGGGCGGCCCATCATCAGGCTAATTGTCGGGCGCTCTCCGAGAAGTAAACTCAGGAATTACTTGGGCTGTCGCTGGCTGCTCGCATCGGAGTCTTTGGGTGACCTGTTCCTGAATTCCTTGGCGCTGGAATTCATGGTGCCAGGGTGGCTGTTGGGCCATTGCGGTGAAACGTGCATCCCAAACAAGACAAGTTAATGATAAGTGAACACAAAATGAAGCAAAGGAAGAAGACATGAGCCCCTGCGCCGGAGGTGCTCCTCCCTGAGTTGCTGTATAGGACCTTTGCGGCAGAGCGGAGCATTTTGCGGACCGAAGCAACATTGGTGCACTCAGGCGTGCTGACTTGCTTGGAGTTCCGTGTGCGCCCGCGTAAAGCAAGCCGTTCAAGCGTTGTTCTCCAACTTGCTCGTTTGCAGGGCAAATGGACAAAGTTTCCTTGATCGATGTGCTGGCGGCTTTTGCTTGGATCATCATTGCAGTGTTATGGGTTTGTGGCTTGGTTCCACACGACTGCATGTCCAAGACGCGGATGTTGAGAAAACCACTAAGCAGCGTGAGGAGTCGGTTCAATGACTGCTTTGTTCATCCTGCATTTGTCCCTCCAGCCGGTCAAGGTACATACCTCTTCCACTTGCAAGCAGTCCTGCCAGGCTCGTGGTAAACGAAGTGGGCCTTGATGAAATGGCAACCTTTTCTGTGAGATTGGCAGGCTATGAGTGGGATGTGCATCACATGTGTGCGAAATACCGTGACATCTTACAGGGCTGAATGATGCATTTGCGGAGCTTATGAGAGACAAAGTTTCTTCATACAAAGGTGCGCAGTTTGCCTTGTGCAAAGACGGGCAGATTGTTTGAACTTAAGTGGCAGAACGACCAAGCGAGGTGCTTGAAAGCTTCAATCCTATGCCTGTAATGGACAAAGTGTCAAATTTGATATTTGCGAACCATTATAAAAGTAGATCATAGCCTAGATGTGCAGCATCATTGGCATTGCCAACTATGCATGTGACATACTCGGACTCGTAGCCCTTTTTGACAGACAGGAAAGTGCGTATGGTAGCGGAGCTGAGAAGGAGGTAACCCCTCTGGAGCTCTGAGTGAAAAGCCCCTGGGTCACTGGGATGCCGGGTGCGATTTCGAGCCATAGATTTGGGGCCTTTGGAACCCAAGCTGCTGGACTGGTGAGTAATTGTTGTAAGCAACACTCTGTTTCCAGTACATTGCGCCAAAAAGACATTAGTACAAGGAGAAGATGCAGGAGAGCAGAGGGATCCTTCAAACTATAGCACGGGGTACGCTGGCAACAACATCAGCAGCTGAGGCAGTGAAGAAAGCAGTTGAAGACAAGAAGTCATCAACAACAGGTTGGTCAAAACTGATAGCAACGCCAGCAAAGCCCAATATCTTTGACTATAAGCCACAAGAAGAAGAGATCAAGGCATTCAGAGAGTGGTCCTGGGTCTTTGGGAAGTATTTGAGCACAGTTGATGAGGGCTACAAGCATATTTGGCAACTCTTAGGGCAGCATGTTCATTTCTCGGCATTTCACAACAAGAAGATGGAGTTGTTGAATGCCAAAAGCTTGGTGAGTGAAGCAAAAGCTCAGGAAACAAGGGATGCGTGAGGACAAAGTGTGGCAATGATGCTTGATGAAGCAACTCAAGCACGGCACAGGTTGACGCACATGCCATATGCCAATTGGTGTAAGGAGTGCATTGAGCATCGAGCGCGTCCAGACCGCCAGGAGAGAACAGATGGAGTAAAGAGGGGAAGTATTCCTGAGGTAAGCTTTGACTGTTGCTACACAAGACCAAGGGGCTCAGAAACAAAGTCAGCAAGAGCAGTATGTTGGCTAGTTGCAATTGACAGCCAAACTGGATTCATTCATGTTGTGCCATCAGGAAGCAAAGGACAGTTTCCCTTAACTGTGCAAGAGTTGATGAAATGCAGTCAATTGTTGGGGTATTCAGCAATCGCCTACAAGAGTGACTATGAACCCGTAATAAGACAGATCCTCAAGATGCTGATCAATGCTCGCCACAGTCTAGGACTCACTACCAGATTGGTAAACTCAAAGCTTGGGGACATTCATTTCTGTCAGAAAATGTGCCGTCAAGACTTGGTATCAAGATTGGATCAGATCATGCGCTTTGGACTTGGGCAGCAAGACATGCCAGTTGGGTGCTTAACAGATTTCAGCCAGCCAAAGGTGCAACTCCCTATGAGCTTGTCTATGGCAAGAGGAATATGGTGAACCAGATCATGGTTACCCAAAAGCCTCGGCGAGATGGCATTTATGCTTGACCTTGGAAAGTTGAAAGACAAGGTGCCTATGTGCTTCAGCAAGTGTATCAGAAGAACAGATGAAGATTGGCCCAAATACTTACCCATATACAAAAGCTTCAATGACTTTCATGGGGGTATCAAACCACTTCGCGGGCAGGATCATTGCCACCAAGAGGAGAGCAGAAGCATTGTCGAGGGACATTGCTCGAGAACATGTGGTGCTGAAGTTCAAGGATGAAGACGCAGAAGCAGTTATGACCGAGGCACTGGAAGGAGAACGTGATTCAACAAAAGAATGACAACTTTTTCCAGAGCCAATGGAGATTCCAGCCCTGCTGGACATCACCGTTGATGCAATGAAGAGAGATGGAAGTGAAAGGAAGCCAAGTGGAGAAGAGACACCAAGTAAGAAGCAGAAAGTTCTCCCCACAGATGAGAAAACCTTTGAGAAGGTGATTGCCAGCAGGGCAGCCTAATCCAATTACTCCTATACTGAGACCACCGTCAGCGGCATCAAGACCAAGAGAGGCAGTTGAATTGCTTGAGGAGGAAAGTCCAATGAAGAAGCTATGGCCAGCAGATGATTCAGGCAAGAAGGCCAAGATCAACATGGCGAAAGTTGGAGGGGAAGATCTGCGATGGAGATTATGAACCTGAAGAAGATCCAGAAGAATGGATTGACGGAGTAGCTGATGAGGTGGAAGAGAAAAGACTCCAAAAGACGCAGGTACTAGAGGAACCAGAAGGTAGCGCAAAAGGAACCAGTTGCTTGACAACAAGAAACGTCTATGGCTGGAGGGAAGAAACCATATCAGCTTGGGGGTGGTACTTCAGGAAGAGAGTTTCAAGACTAGTTGCAAGAGAATTTTGGTGAAGGGAAGAGAGAGAACATTTTCCCACCAGCACTTCAGGGCATGTTCTGAAGCTTCTACCCACAATATTCTTGCAAAAAATCAGTGAAGAGGAAGAGGCAAGAGAGGGAGAAGGAGCATTTTCACAGACGCTATGTGAAAGATGCATTTTTCAAGTTCCACAGGAGAAGCCATTGAAAGTAATTCTGGGAGGAGAAGAGTTCTTGACGAAGAGAAATCTACCTGGACAGAGAGTTGGAGCAAAAGCGTGGTTTGACTTTTTCACAGAGGACCTCACAGAGGACCTCACAGAGGAACCCAGCTTCAAGTTCAGTGCTGAGTGTCCATGCCTAGGAAGAAATGAGAAGAGTATCATTTTGATCCATGTGGGTGACTTGACTTTCACAGGAGACCCAAAGTACATTAATGAAATCTTTCTTCCAACGATTCAAGGCAAATTTGACACCAGTGTGAGCAAGATGGAGGGAATTGGCGATGATTTCTGTTCTCTGAGGAGAAAGTGCAAACTGGAAGTTGATGGATTATTGTGCAATAGAATCATATAGAATCCTCTCCATCCATCTCATCTACAGATCACCTGAACTTGAGGCCTTTTGTGGTTGAAAACAGCTCGCATGGTAGCGGAGCTGAGAAGGCTGACAATCGTCAGCTGGAGCTCCAGGTCAACTTTTGAACCCGTGAGTAAGAGCGCCCTCGCCTAGCAACCCATACAACTAGTGTGGCACTGTTGCTCGCAATCGGCGCCTGAGTCTACCTGAAGCTGATCCTTGGGCGGCCTGGCGCTGTGGTGGAGGTGAGAAGAAGATGGGCTACCTGATCCTGTCTGAAGAGGTTGAGACCTAGCTGAAGAGCGAGATGGACCAGCCTGACATGCCGGTGCTGGCCCAGGCGGTCATAGCAGCAGCAAATGCTGCAGCTCAAGCAGCTCAGGCGGCGGCTTCCAGTGGAGGAGGAGCTGGGGCGTGCTGAAGGAGCAGGGGGAAGCCAAGGGGTTCTGAAACGTGATCTGGCAAAGTTGATCCCAAGACCTGGTACCTTCAAGCCTACAGATAGGGAGCAAGAAATTTTACAGGAGCGAGATTGGTACTGGACGGTCAAAAAATACCTGGTTGTTGTCGATTCGGCGTTCCAAGATGAACTCGAGAAGTTGGAGTCCAATTTGACAACAGAAGTAGACTGAGAACTGTTGGACGAAGGTGAACAACAGAGAAGTCGATTTTTGTACAGCTTGTTGGGAAGCCTTGTACAGGGACGGTTGACAGGGGTCATCAAGAACGTGGAGAAGTTCAATGGCATGGAAGCTCTTCGACAGCTGTTGATAAACTGCCAACCCAGGAACAGGACGATGAACCTCTTGCAGGGTATAATGTCATACCCAAGCTTCAACATGAAGAGCTCCCTGCTGCCTCAGATCCGTCAGACCCTCAAGCTGGAAGAGCACTACGTGCAGTATGAGCGCCTTGGAGGGAAGTTATCACCAGACATGAAGTCGGCGGTGCTCCTCAGGGCAGTTTCAGGTCAGATGAAGACTCATTTGAATCTGACTTGGAATGAGGGAAGCTCATACAACAAGATCCGAGAAGCCATCATTGCCTTTGACACAGCCACCGCAAAGTGGAATGAGTCTGGAGCCCTGACTTTCTCCGGAATGAGCCCAATGACGAGTTCAGCAGATCCCAATGGTCCCATGCCCATGGAGATTGACCGCATCAAGGGAGATGGAAAGGAAGGCAAAGGGAAGACAAAAGATGTCAAGGGAAAGTCAAAGGGCAAAGAAGACAGACAGAAGGGAAAAGGAAAGGGTGGCAAGCAGAGTGGCAAAGATGGCAAGGGCAAAGGAGGTGGCAAGGAGAACAAGGGTGGCAAAGGCAAGGGTTCAAATGAAGTGTGTTGGACCTGCAGCAAACCCGGACACCTGTGAAGGGATTGTTGGAGAGTCAGGCAGATCGAAGCACCAGCAACCCAGAGCATTGCAGGTTCTCACACTACATCGCCTTCTACCACGTAGACAACGAGCGCGACGAGTGGAGGAGGTGGTGATTCCAATGCAGGCGCCAAGAACATCCGGCATGTTTCACAGCCAGTGATCGTCGACTTGAGAGAAGGGAGTGAAGCTGGTTCAATTCGAATGGTGCGTCAGGTTGAATTTTTCAACATTGCCTCAGATGATGAGGACGAGTATGACAGCTACATGGTCAACACCATTGCTGAGACCGAGAATGAGGAAGAGGTCGATGAGGCCGATGGAGTTGGAGAAGAGTTGCAAACACTCAAGGTGATTGTGGACTCAGGAGATCTTCCCTGGACGACTCATGGGGAACACAAGAGGTGATCAGGTGTTGGGAGCGGCTCTGGTAAGAAGATCAAGAGTTATGGCCACAAGGACGTGGATATCATGATGATGACGTCCGAGGGTCAATCTGTGGTCTTGAAGGAGAAGGTGACATTCGGCGACATGTGGTGGTCCGCACGCTGGCAGTCAGGCTAGGTGAAGAGTTGATGAACCTGGCTAAGCGGCTATGGTTGGAAGAAGAAGGATGAGTTTTGGGTTGGCTTGCGCCTGAGCACGCGATTCCAGACCCTCAGTTCATCCCCGGCTTCAGAGATCAGGGAGAAGGAATGTGCAGATCGACCTTGGTTGAGAAGCAAGGCAGTTGGGAATTGGTGGAGATGGCCGAACCTCTAGACGGTCTGGAGGAGCAAGAGGATGAGATTGAAGAGCTCAGAGACGTGGGCCTCAGCAAGTGACGTTTGTGGCTC